GAATACACCTTTAAAAGAGGCATGTTTTCCCTATGAAGTTATTCCCATTTTGTTCTCCACCAAAATTTAAACATCTCTAAAGATCATTTTAGGACTTTTTTTTTTTTTTTTCAAATTTTGCTTATTTTTCAGTTACCAGTGGAATAAAGTCTCTTTACGAGTCTAAACTTAACCATGATTAATATAATTTTATTACAATTTGTCATGAAAGTTATAGACCAGTTTATTCTTATGAAAAGCAACTAATATTCATCACAAAAAAATAGAATCAGTCCGAGTCAGAAACCTTGGCTCTGTCGCATATGTGGAACATTGCTCAAAAAAAAAGAACCAAAAAAAAAAAGCTTAGACTAAAACACATACTACATGTAAAAAGTCCCAAACTGTTTATTTTCTTAGCATTCATTTCAACTTCTTATTTATACTAAAATCAGCATTTATTCTCCTTTACATAGTGAAGTCTGTTCAATACACAAGTATCAATAAGCAGGATTAAAAGATCAGAATGGCTTCGTTATGCCTGTGTTAAAGATATCCCACATCCTATTATATTAAAATATTTCATATATAGTCAGTATTTAAACAGAGGTTTAATAATAAAAAGTGAGTTCCCATACAAGGCAATTAAAGAATTTAATCAGATTGGGAGTCTCATAAATTAAACAGTCAGAAAATGAAGAAATAAACAGAACAGCAAAGTCATCAGAGGTGATCTGAAAGTCCATAGAGAAAGGATGACTGAGGAGTTTCTGAAAGACCGATCTTTTCCGCTGCTGCTGCTGCTTCTACACATTCCAGGCAGCGGAGACAGCCGGGTCCTTCCACCTTCAGCTAAGGAGTCTACGCATTTGTTCAACACACGATTATAATGACATTAGAAAAAGGAAAACACTCTCCTTTGGGTACATAAAGACTGTTCAGCTCAGATGTGTCTTAGCGCCAACCTTCCTCACAAACCCATTCACAGCAGATATATTCATATCCACCCCAGTTTGATTTGTTAGTGAAGACAAATGTGCTTTTGGAACAAAAACACTGAAGACATCTTTCTGCCTGTGCTGCATTTGAACGATACCTCAGTTTGACCGCATTGTTCTACGAGGAAAAGAAAGAAAAACACTGATTCGTTCGATTAACATTATAATCATCATGGACGTCTCTCTACTGCTCGTCTCCCAACATACTGATACAGCCAGTCCAAAAAGTGCCAGGCCTGATCAGAATCAAGCCTGTGATGTCCGTCGCTCCGTCCGTCCCAGAATCGGGTTCTACTAAGAGATGACAGCTGGAGGAGGCGCAGAAGGCTTCATAGAGCGGGACACTTTCTGCTGTATCACACGCTCATACATCCTAACAAAACACACACACAGGCTCATACACACGCCGCACGTCCAAGATGGCCCCTTTTCAACACACTGCTGATTATTTGGAGATTTGCTGTTGGAGGTGGAGAAGGAACTCATAGTATGACAGCGCCGACTCCGTTCGGTCTTCAATCATGTTCTGCATAAAGATGGGTTTCAGCTGGCTCTCATCCCTGAGAACAACAGAGAGAATGAATATAGCAGACAATGGTTTATAACTGATAACAAAACACATTCAGTCTAATTTCTCTTAGTTTCCACGCATTTATTCTTAATATATGCTTTTAAAGTCTAAGGTGCTTTTAAAGTCTATTTTTAGTGATCACCAAATTTCAGAAATCATTCTGGTAAGATGTCCAGATCTCTTTTTAAGGCAGAAGGTAGAGCTTATTTTAGTGTGGTTATAACGGCGTTATTGACCCAACCTTTAACATACAACACAAACAAATCGATAGGTTTGATGTTAGGGTGGCCTTTCCTGTCCCAGAACCGGTTCTGATTATAGCATCCAATCGGGTCCAAAAAAACATCTTATTTCAGATGCAGTAGCACAAATCTTTAAGGGGCTTTGAGCTTCTTGACTCAGATGAACTTGGGAAAAAAATATTTTTGATTTTGGCTCCTAGAAGCACTTTGTTTCTCTACCTACTTAAAATAACATAACATTAAATATTAGAGGAGTTTAGTTATCTATTCGCACCTGTATGTATAATTGCCACAACATTTGAAGCAGAGAAAACCTAAAATAACCACAAATTTTAAATCTAGTTCTTAATAATTATAAGTATTTCTAATTAGGGCTGAAATAATTAATTGGATTAATCAATTATTGAAATAATCGTCAACTAATTTAGTAATCGGTTAAACGTTTACTGGAGTATTGAGACTGCAGATTATGCCTTTAAGCTGACAGATGACCCACTTAGAGCAGTAATTATACCAAAACTGGAAGAAAAAAAAATATATACATATATATTTGCATTTGAGACAAAAAAAATAAAATGCTTTCCTCTGTCAATATGCTCTATGCAAAACTCCAAAGGTGGAAAGGTTTTAGTTTCACCTCATATCATTTAATCAAAAATCTTCTTTAAGGAACCTTTTGCTCTCCAATCATTGATTGAAAAAATAATCAACAGATTAATCGATTTGCAAAATAAACAGTTGCAGACATAAATAAAGGAGGAGTATGAACATCTGATGAACTGGGCCTGGTTGCACTTTTCCATAACAAACACAGGCTGCAATAAATAAGTTTAGAAGGCCTCTGTATAAATGCCAGGTACAGGTTATAATGGATTCTTTTTTTAAAACAAACAAAAAGCCCAAAACAAACCTCAAACTTTTCTTTCTTACCTGATGATGTGGAGGGAGGGGAAGAACGGCCTCTGATCCCTGAGCCAGCCAATGAAAGCTCTGGTTCTCTGTGACTCTGCAGTGTCCAGCTCTGGGAGGATATCCTGTCAAAACAGAACAATCAATCAGCTTTCTAAGAAGGGAAAAGAGTCAAAACTGAGTAACAGCTTCAGTTTGCATCAGTCTATGGTGTTGACTGTGAAGAGCTCAGTTTAGTTCTTATGTTCTCAGCTCCAATTTTCATACTGCAGAGATTACCATGTCCTTGTGCAGGCTTTCAACACACAGTTATGTAAAAATTCAGGTTTCATTGGCTTTTCAAACTTATTAGTTAAATTCTCATACCCTCTAAATTTCTGGTGAACATTTCCAAATGAGGCAGACTTTAGAACTAAAACCAGGGAAAGGATGGATGAAAAAAGGAACATTAGGTATAATAGAAAGCTAGAAGGAAAGATGGATGACAGAATAAAGGGAAATGAAAGGAAAAGGAAGGAGTAACACAGAAAGGAAATGATTGAGGAATAAAATAGCAGAACTACAAAGGATGAAGAGAGGGAAGGATGTTAGGAATTAAGAGTAAAAGGGGAAGGAAAAAGGAATGAAAGGATGAAGGAGAGGAAAGACAAGATGATTAGAAAGAAATCCAAATAAGGGGGCAAAGGAGGTGAAGTCACAAAAGGAAGGGTGTTACTTCTTCATGGGAGTTCTAGATACAGAAAAGTGAAAAGATGAGGGGAGGCTTAGAGGGGATTACTGAAAAAAGGGAAGAAAAGAAATTCAGAAAACAAGGCAGAAAAAAATGGGACTTTGGTGGAGGTGGGGGGCAGGTCAACTTTTAGAAAACGAGTTGGAGAACAATTTCGGAAATACAAAATATCAGCCATAGAAAATACAGAAATCAGACTTTTACCATACAGTGACCTTGCTGGAGTCTTTCAATCAACTAAGTAATAGACATAAATATTATCTTTCAGGTTTTTCCTCTTTAAGAAACTTAGTTATAACATGTTTCTCACCATTTTCTCAGGCACAGCAGAGTAGTTTGGAACCCCCAGGACCTGTGAGAGGAAGTTAGGCTGGCAGTTGCGTCCGATCCAAAGGTACATCACCTTATTGGAAAGTAATAAAACAACAGTCTTAATCCGAAAACATGACAACAGGTATAGCTTTCATGGATTTTGGCAATCCCACTGAAACAAACAGATACAATAAAAGATGATTCCTAAACTTACAAGTCCAGCATCCATGAGGAAGGCTCCCTCCCTGCTGAGCTTCTCCACTGACAGCTGTAGGACTCTGGGCTGCGGGATGGTCCGGTCGTTCACGTTTAGGGCTCCCTGAGAAAGTCAGAAATAGGAGGAAAATAAAGTAATGCAGCAAAATTAAAACAGTATCTTCCCACTGAGACCTCCTCATCCTCACCTCATCGCTCAGGTCGTCGACACGATACAGAGAAGGATGGATCATCAACATGGCAAAGGCCAACGGCTGGTACTTCAGCTGGTACATGGCAAACACACGGTCATCAAGTCTGGTACTGGTTCCTGTCCTGAAGGCTTTCTGCAAGGATCAGACAGAAATGTACCAATTTGTTTTAATTAGCTGGTTTCCATTAACCAGAGGGATAAATATCTGATTCTATAGACTTTACCTGTTTGAGCAGAGCCAAGATGTAGAGCGGGAAGAGTCGGAGGCAGGCTGGAGCCAACAAGCCCGGCTGCTGGATGGTCAGCACAGACTGTCGGTATGAAGAAAGCGAGTCGATGGCAGCGTTGGTCATCGCGTCTCTGGCGTCACTCAGACTAGCCGTCACTGAGCGGTCCACAGCTGGAAAAATGGTCAGAAAGTTGTTGGAGAAGGACTTCTACATAAGAGGTGGTTAATGACATAGAAAGCATAGAAAAACATATTTCACAAAAAGTTGTGAAATAGAGGGGGTGCTTTTTAATCATATTTAGGGTACAAGTTTTAAACTTTAAATGATCATATTAATGCTCTAAGCATAATGAACTTGAGAAATAGAGGAATATCATCCCAGTTAAAAGCTGCACTTTATTTTTTTGGTTAGGCCCCCCTGTGGCCTTTTATAATGAGGTTTAAATTCCCTCATGTAATGCAATCCTAACACTCTGTACTAGTTATACTGACATGCTGTGGTGAAACCTGAACAAGGGAGAAGCTGAAAAGATTCACACAATTGATTCAACATATACAGGGGGAAAAAATAGGGCAAATATACATTTTTATTTTTCTGTCATTTCAACAGCTTGAGGGCTTTGCTGCCCTCTACTGGAATCTTAATGCACTTGCTCTGTAAATTATGAATGCCTGTAGATACTCTGCAACATGTCCTCTCATAGGGCCACTGTGTTTCCATTTGAATTTCATCAAAGCAATTGCACTATATTTATTCTTGCATATTAGACTTAAAGGGGCCACAGAGATTTATTAAGAAACCTGTGTCACCTAAAATGACTAAAGAGTATAAATAGAATATATTTTCTAATAACATGAAATGTTGAGGGGTATAAATAAATGTGTGAAGTTTATTTACAATACAAGTTTTCAATGTTCTGAATAACTTTTATATATTATTTATAGCCCTACTGATAAATAAGAGCTCTTTGGCATCACATTCTGGAGCTGGATGATTAGAAATGATTAGAAAAACAAACACAACCTCTATTGACACCTCAGGTGTGTCTTTAGCCTGGAGCAGTACGTACCCATACAGGCCAGCAGTCCAGTGATGGCCTGAACATCAGCTCCAGCGAAGACATCCGACAGAGAATTTACAACAGGGAGGCACATGGTGTGCACTCTGATCCTTCTTTCCCCTGAGAAGGTAAATGGTTTGTTTTTAATAAAATGGTGAGAAAAAGAAATTTGATAAAAACCTCTGTTCTGCCAGGTGGGTGTTCATACCTTTGCTGGAGGTGTAAAGCAAAGCAGCCTGGAAGGAAACCACCTGCATGTCATCCAGGTTTTCCTCGATGGACATCTGAACAGCGAAGCCAGCATCCGGGTTGACGTTGGGGAGGGACAACAGATCCGTGGAACGCACAAAGAAGTTTCCATGGAACGTGTGGATGGACAAACCTGCAGGATGACAAAGCAACAGAATTCAATTACGACAATATTTTAAAAAACATTTTTAGGGGTTTTAAAAATGAAGAATGAAATAAATATGGAGTGAATTTCTTACCTTTGGTGCAACGTATTCTCATGACTGCCTCAAAGCCGATTTTCCGTGTTAAATATCTCTTCAGATCTCTCTGGAAGCGCTCCACCTGAGCTGGGTTATGCTGATGGTGATAGGAGGGGTAGTAATAAACGCTTCCTGCCGAATACCTGGATATGCATCCTGGAAGAAAAAGAAAACACAAGAACAGGTGTTTAAAAAAAGAAATTTAAACTCAAACACAAGAGCAGAAGGTTATGAGTTAGCTGCGTTTCAAGCTTCCAACCAACATCCCTCTCTGCAAAAATATGTTGATGACGTGACCATCGTGAACTCTGAATCCTAAAATCCACGCATCAAATGTCTTTCTGACTCACCGAGCGAGGCCAGGTCGCAGTACTGAGCGCTGAGCAGAAACAGGTCGACCGCGACCTGCTGGCCAGAGCAGTCCAGGGCCAGCTTCTTATAGAAATCTGTTGCTGGGGATAAGTGCTGGACATCCTGGGAGGGAAATCCAACAGGCAGCACAATGAGCACAAAAATATCAACGCATTTAAAAAAGAAACATTCCAAAGATCAGGAATTACCACTAAACTATGTTCTTAGACAACTCCCACTCATGACAAACCAGTGAAGTTATCAATTTATCTGAAGAAACTAACTATATAAGTGTTTTCTGTATAAATGTATGTCATTAAAATATGGCTGTTGATTAAGAAGTTAAAAGTATGAAAGTATAAGGCAAACTGAACGTGGACTGATTTTGTAGAAGCTGCATATAAGAAATGCTTAATTAAGTCTGTCATCTTCAAGTCTCCATAAATCAACTACAAAAAACTCAATAACTTTATCATTCACTTTATTCCTTTTAGCAAACAGCCCAGAAGGTTTATTTTTAGTTATTTTTTAAGAGCCACAGTTCAGTAAAGCTGGTAATAATAATAATAATAATAATAATAATAATAATATTAATAATAATAATGTAATAATAATTACAGGTCATAGGGCTCCTAATATTGTGCTGTCAATTCCCTGGACTGTAAGAAATAAATCTACCTAACTTGAAAGTATTCATCAAAACATTATTATTGAAAGCCTAATAACCAATATGAGGTTATTGTAGGCCTAAATAATTCAGTAACTGTAAAATTACTACCCTTAGAGCAGGGGTGCTCAAGTCCAGTCCTCAAGAGCTACTATCCTGCAACGTTTTGGCTACGTTCACACCGCAGCCTGAAGTGACCCAAATCCGATTTCTTTGCCCACATGGGACCTGAAACTGATTCTTTCATGGCAGTCTGAACAACACAGATCCGATTTTTTCCAATGCGACTCAGTCCATTAGTAGCTGACATGGGTCACTATTCTGCTTCTTACTACAAAGAAGCGGCAAGAAAAACAAACACCTTACCTGACTCCGCCAGATGGATTTGCTCCACATATCCATCTGGAAACCTTCCGTTGAAGTAATTTTGGGAAGGGGCGAAAATACTGGTTAGCTGATTGGCCTATGTTGGTGATAGACGGGCCAATTAAATCAGATCAACGAAGCATATGATGTACTAACAGAGCGACAACGAAAACACAACCACAAGC